GAATTTTATATCCACCTGGCTGGGGTGGACAATGGGGGTGCGGATTGGGTGGGGGAAGAACGGTGCTGAACTGAAGATGCAAAGGAGAAAGCCCTGGGCTGATCAGGGCAGGGTGGCAAAGGGGAGCCCAGGCTTGGACCTGGGTCAGAAGGGAAGAGGAGCTGAGTTCTCATGTTGGGGAGCTTGGGAGGACTGCACCACCAGAGAGAAATACGGGGTGGAACAGGAAGGTCATGAGTTCAGTGCAGATGGCCAGGAGGACTCTGGCAAGGGGATGATGCCCTTGCGTTCATCCTGGTAGAAAATTCTGTGGTCTTCATCGATACCAGCAGTCTTGGCTGGCCGCCAGCTTCCTCTGCTGAGCTGTTGTGCCAATAAATACTTGTTGGCAGATCAATGAAACCATCTAGGAACAATGTCTGGAAATAAAGTTTTCCCAGCTCGATGCGGGTAGATAAGCCCTCTCTGCCAGGGAGCCCTGAGACTGCTTCCTGTTTCTCAGCCTCTGGAAGTGCACCTGGGCACGGACACCTGCTCTGTAATGAGGCCTGCCCGGTGGGAAGCCTGGAGCAGGGCACAGCAGTTATGACCTGGCTCAAAACACAGCTCTGCCTCCTTCTTGCTATGTGAACTTGGACAAGTGCTTCACCGTGTCAGGACTCAATATCCTCTTCTACAAAATGAGGTTAATAAATGTAACATCCCCTTAAGGTTCACTGTAAGGTAATAAGTACTTTAAGGAACTTAATTACAAATCAGTAAATAATTGGTCCAGGACACAGAACATAGGTGATAGCCAAATAAAAATTACCATTGGGATCTTAAAAATCAAAGCTGTTCAGGACTCTAGCCCACTTCTCTTTCTGCCTGGCTTCCCCTATGCACCCTAACACCCCACCCCCCAACCCCAACTGCCAGTGTCACTTCTCAGCAGGCATCACCCAAGAACTCCAGGACAGAAGACAAAGGATGTGGAAGGCAAAGGCGGGAGTGGAGAAGCAGTTCCGAGAAGCAGCCCAGAGCAGACTCCAAAGCCTAGTCCATCCCCGGGTTGAATCTCACAGCAGCTGAGGCATTTTCAGTGACATTCTCCCATTAGCGAGCAAAGCATGCCTGACTCACAGCCACTTCTGGGCTGCCTTTATGCGACGAGCTTTTCAGAACATCCTGCAGAGCTCAGCACTGAGCCAAGAGCTTTGAGGGCTGGAGATGAAGCAGCTGGGAGGAGGAAAAGAACAGGGCCAGCATCTCAGGGCCTTGCCACCCGTCTCCAGAAAAGGGTCCTGCCGCTTGCTGCATGGCCACTGGCTGGTGGAGCAGTTTCTTCTGCTCCTTCTCCCACCTTGTCCGCAAACGTGTCCCCCAGTGGACCCCTAGGCCACTGGCTTAGCTTGAATCAGTCACCCAGTTACCAGCTGTGTCACCTTGACCAAGCTCTCTGTGCCTCAACTTCTACATCATAAAATGAAGATGATAAAACAGGTGTCATAGTACAAAGAGGGGTTACAGGGTTAAATGAGTTAAGAGTTGTCATCAGGTTCTTAGAATGGAACTCAGCACAGGCTAAGCACTAAGTCACGTGTCACCTAGTGATGTTTCAGCTGGCGCTGGACCACGTGCATGATAGTGGTCCAAAGCAGCCTGATCACGCAGCCCAGGTGGGTAGTAGGCGATAATGTCTAGGTTTGTATAATTACTCCATGCTGTCTCCCACAACAACAAAATAGCCCAACAATACATTTCTCAGACTATATATAGTCTGTCGTTAAGCAATGTGTGACAATGTATGTTAGCTATAGTGTTACTGTTATTGCTCGTATTAAGTGGGCCTGGATCCAGTCACCTGGAGAGAGCTTGGCCATCTGCCTGGCCTCGGCCCCACTTGGTCAGCTCACTGACACGGCAGAGCCTTAGATGCCCTGCAGCTCTTTGCAGTAAACCCCAAGATGCTGGGCTGCTTCGCTCCATGGTATAGATGAAGAATACATTAGCAATAGAAAAATGACTTCCAGGAGGTATTGCCCTCATCAAATACATGCTTCAGAGTTAAATGTGGTTAGGCCCGGCTAAGTCTTGCTTTTTACGGTCATAAAAATTCACAAATCGAGAAAATGATATCCATTAACTTACTTCTGTCACATCACAGGAAAAGCTTCCACTAAGGTCACTTTATTTTCATCCACAGGTGAACCCCAGGACCCAAGCCTACTCACTTAGCCGAATACCAATTGCTGTGTGTGTCCTGTGTCAGTAAATTTTATCACCCCCATTTTACAACAGAGGACACTGAGAAGCAGGAGAGGGAGTGATTGCTCTTCATGGCCTGGGGTCAGAGTCCAACCAGGGTCTGTTGGGGTTCTGGGGGTTTCTCATCTCCAAGATCTTGTGGAGAAGCAACAGAAAGCAGACCCACCTTTCTGTTTAAAGCCTCTCTCTGTTACTTCCCCACATGTCAATCTGGGACAAGTTTGGAGACCTGCCATCATTTCCACAACCAACTCTAGCTCAAAAGTCTTCTCATACACAGAACAACATCTCTCTCCCATTTATAGGCTGCCAGAAACTCAGTGAAGTGGATGAGAAACAAAAGCTTCTTATCGTTTAGGAGACATGTGTGGCCACAAAGGTTTGCTGCTGATGCTGTGGGCAAGGAATGGAAGTTTGTGTGGTCTGAGTCAGTGGCAGATGCACCAGTTTCCCCAAGAAGTGGGGGTCTTGACCTGTTTCAGACCATGGAGGGCTGGACTGGTGAAAGAAAAGGCAAATCAGGAGTGTCCTGTGATGCCAAGTGGAGTGTTCTCAACTTGGTCTTTGTAAAAAAGAAAGAGAAGGATATTCTTGGACTCACTGATATTACTGTGCCTGCTGCCTGGGGCCCAAAAGAGCTAGTTGAATCCACAAGCTTTTTAATCTGTCTAAAGAGGATGATGTTGTCCAACATGTTATGAGAAAACCCTAATCAAAGAAGGTAAGAAGTCCAAGACAAAAGCACTTGAGAGCCCACATCTTGTAACTCCACGTTTTTCCTGTGAAAACATCACATCATGCTGCAGAAACAGTATGCTAAAAAAGTAAGGAAGAAGCCACAGAGGAGGTTAGGCTAAACTTTTGGCCAAAAGAATGAAGGCCCAAGAAGGCTGCCAAAAGATGGAGGCTGTCTTCTTTGAGAGCTTCCATGTCTGAATCCAGTCAAAAAATGAGATGTTCTAAAAATAACAAATAAATAAGACATTAAAAAAGAAAGAAAGGGGCCTGCCTGGTGGTACAGAGGGTTAAAGCACAGCACTGAGAAGCTAAAGCCACTTCAGCATGAGTTTGATCCCCGCTCCAGAGGTGACCCACATGGCATGGCAGACCTCTCCTGTCTCACCTGTTGCTCCTCTCAGCAGTGTACTTCATCAATCTGCCTGTTCTGCTCCCCACTCTGTCTCGGGTGAAGTCTCTCCCTGCCTCTGCACCTCTGGTCTGTACCCTAGTTCTGTATGCATAAATAAATCTTTAAAAAAAAAAAAGTTTGGTTCTTTGTTATAATTATTGTTGAAAATTCAATAAAATGCTAAAACAGAAAGGAAGGAAGGAAGAAAATCCAAGAGGAAGTCCCCTTCAGGTACCAATGTCAGTCTTTAATCCCTCTTATAATATTATGACACCTCAGAAGACCCCAGAGCAGCGGTGAAAGGGACCTCATACTGCCCCATTTCACAGGTGAGTAAAGTAAGGTTTACTCATGAGTGACTCACCAAAAGTAAAACCACTGAGCCTGGAAAAAAGCACATCAGATTCCACAGCCTAGCACACCAAGTCCACCCTGCGAGTCTGGTGGTCACTTCCCGCAATTAAATTTTCCAGTTCCATTACAAAAACTAATGCAGCACTGGAGTTTGCCTGGCGGTCATGTCTAGGATGGGGCCAGGCACTCACCACATGGGGATGACTAAACCAGCCCAGTTTGGGGCACACTCATCTACTCCTAGATTTAACCAGTTAACCAGGAAAAGCAAAATCTACTGCCATAGAAAGGCCAATAGCTGTGAAAACAAAATATGAGTAAGAACATCGATTATTCCAGAGCTGAGCATACAACCAAGTAAATGTGAATTCTACTTGAGTAAAATCTCACTTTGACTTCTTTTCTGGGTGTCACTCTTAGTTCCTCAACAAAAGTGGGGAGCTCGGAGGCTGACAGACCTGTGTAGACCCTCGGCTGAGGAGCTGGAGTTCTGGAGTTAAGCACCTGCCACGCTCACCATCAGGGTGTGGCAGAAGTCTGTTTGGCCTGAGAATGTGTGAGCCCACAAGCACCAGCCTCCAGATTCCCTCTGCTGGGGTCCAGAGCAGGATGGACTGCCACATATTTCTTTGTCCAGAGGCACCCTGCTTTCTAGAGTGACTCTCTCCTAAAACCAGTGACCATTTATGTTACTGTGATTTTTTTAAGCAGCCTTAAGAGATGACTGCATATTTAATGAGGGGAGGTCTTTAGGGGTCAAACCTCATAGCCTCTGTGCTTGTCTGCAGCCTGCAGAGAAGTTTTGTTTGCTCAGAGGTGTTTGTGAGCAGGTGTCAACTTTAAAATTAAGACAGGTCACAGAAAGTCTAGATTTCTGGGTCCTCTTGGAAAAATCAGAAGATCCCACAACTTGTGGCTTTCATTCCCACAAGACAGCTATAAACTAGAGATGACACCTAAAAGCTCTAAGTACTTTTCTCATAATATCTTATTCCATCCTCACAAAACCTTGCACCGGATAGCTAGGAACAATCTTTGTTCCAATTTGCAGACCGGGAAAATGGCATGGCCTAAGATCACCAAGTGAGCAAAAGTCAAACCCAGGATACCTAGAAACTGAGTTGACGGAGTTCACGTTCCAACCAGGACTCCACTCTGCTAGATTCGTAAAGATGGTGGAAAGTGGGACTTTCCTGCTGTACTCCCCTAGGGACAGGAAGCCTCTGAAACCTGCACTCCCGGCCTCCCCACCGCGCACAGAAGCACTTACGGTCAAGGCCATTGACGTAGCGCATGGTGACTTCACAGTGGCCCCAGACCGCACTCACCACCGGGTACAACTTCTTGCCTTTGAGACCACGAAAGGCCACACCCAGGTACTGGCCATCCACCACGAAGCTGAGTGTGCCCTCATCCATGTCCAGCACCACCAGCAGTGAGTCGGGCAGCGAGAAGGCCTCCTCTGGGCCCAGAAAGGCTGGGTAGGCCACTCCAGGTCGGTTCTTGCCATCGTGGTACAGGCGACTGCGGCCCAAGTCCCAGCCCCATGACTCGGAGTCACTGCCCACAAGCGCCGTGTAGCCCACCGAATGCAGGGGTGCCCGGGCCGTTGCCACGCCAACCACAGCATGGGTGCCACGCTGCCGTGCAGGCCAGTGGATCTGCCAGGCATGGAGGCCACGCGCGTGGCCCACTTTGCCCCGGATGCCGTCAGTGCTCTGAGCCACCGGGTGCCGGTGGAAGGTGAGCCGGTCGTCATCTTTGACGAAGACATTGAGGGAGCGGTCCTCGGGGTTCCAGGCATGCCGCAGCTGCACGGCCAGCCCCGCCGCCGGCATGTCCAACAGCTGGTCCAGCCGCGCTGGCCGCCCGGGTTCCACACCCCGCAGCTCCCGCTTGGCGGGCCGCAGTGCCGGCTCTCGCACCTCCACCGACTTGAGGCTTCCGGAGAGCTTCTGGCCCATGGTTCAGTGCAGGGAGGGGGCCGCTGCAGGCCTCTGCTACCTCGTGGGAGCGCCCACTTCCCGCAGCCAGACAGGGGACACTGGGCTGACAAGCAGGCTTCTGGGCTGCACAGTTCCACAGCCTCTACTGGGCTGGGGCAGGGGCCCAAGCTCCTGGAAGGAAGCAAAGGGCATGAGTTATAACAGTGGCTTCAACAGTATCTATGTCCAGGCCCCGGCTGAGCCATTTGCTTACATTAGTAACAATAAGTATTACGAATAATATTTCATCAAGTATTTGTCATATGCCAGGTACTGCTCTAAAGGATGTGTGTGCATTAATCCATTTAATTCTTAGGCGTTCCTTATAAAAAAAATAGATTTTATTATTCCCGCTTTTCTAGATGAGAAGACTAAAGAGCAAAGAAAAAAGAAGTAGTTAACCAAAGTCCCACAGCAAATAAGGGGCGAGGTTCAAATTCAAACCAAGACCATCTGGCTCCATAATCCATGCTCTGCATTTAAGAGTAATCACAGGCTATTAGTTAGTTTTAGTTTTTATGCTTTTTTTTTTTTTGCAATTTAATTTTAGAAATTAAGATGAGCCCAGAGAAGTTAAGTGATTTGCCCGAGATCACATATCATAGAGAAGAACCCAGGTGCATCTGATTCTAGGGGTACAAGCCCTGGTGAGGGAGACACAGTGGCCAAGACATGGGGGCCACAGAGGCATCCAGTGTAGCCCAGGGCTCCTCTCTCTGGCTGTCCTGGGAAGCTTAAATGGCATTTAAAGTGCAGCCAGGCTTGGAACCTAAGATATAGGGTTAGGATCCACAGGTCACTAGGACACAGACACACAGCAGAGATCTGAAGATGGGGTGAGGTCTCCCAGGGAAGGTGAGTGGGAGGCAGGGGACGAGACATCTGGTATCCAGGCTTTAGAGCCAAATCCTCTCATCTTCCAGCTGTGTGTCCACAAGAAAGTCTCTTAGCCTCTCAAAGACTATAACTTCAATATGCCAATATGAGAGACAATAGTGTGGAGGGCCAGGCCTGAGGCTCTGTGGGTAGGTTTTCCTCTTTGGGCAGCCCTTGTATACCCCTTCCCTTTCTTTGGGCATATACGCTCACCATAAATACCACTGACCCCAAATAACAACCTTTGAGGCAGCACTCTGGTTTCCAGAAAGAAGGAAGTAGCCACCTTCACTCAGAGCTGCCAGAGCATGGGGTGCTGGCACAGGCCCTGGGGGTAGTGAGAGATGGAGTACTGAGTCCTTCAGTCCATTCACAGTGCAGGCACATGTCCTTCCTCCCTTGCCCTAACTGACAAAGGCAGGGCTCAGAAAAACCTCCCACAATAACCTAGGTGACAGGCATATATTTTTTTTTTTTAAAGATTTATTTATTTGTGCATACAGAACTGGGGAACAGGCCAGAGGCTCAGGGGCGGTGAGAGGCTTCACCAGAGACAGAACAGGGAACAGAACAGGCAGATCGACGAAGTACACTGCTGAGGGGAGCAGTGGGCGGGTCAGGAGAGGTCTGCCGCGCCATGTGGTCACCTCCAGGGCAGGCGGGAATCAAACTCATGTGGAAGTGGCTTTAGCTTCTCAGTGCTGTGCTTTAACCCGCTGCGCCACCAGGGAGGGCCAACAGGCATATTTTTATGCCCTGCCCTGTCCACCCTTATTCTCCCACCCCGATAGTAGCACACTCACAGCCATGGTGCAGGTGAAGAAGGAAAGAACCCGGCCGTCATCCAACCCACTTGAACTTCCTTTTAAACATTTCTAATTTATTTTCAACTCCCATTTCTTTTTCCCTTTCTACTGTCAAACCCAAGCTTCAGCTTACGCTGACCCTATCCAGAGAACTCAGGCTAATGTTTAATTTGGGAAAATATCAGAGCACAGGATTCTGCAACACTAGATCATTCTAAGATAGCAAAATAAAGTTATTTCTTTTCATATCCCAAATCACCCAAAATAAAGGAGAAAGAGAAATACAAAGTCTATTTTTGCAATACCAGAACACATCTGTAACTGAACCACCACTTGTAGGGAAAGGTTGCCAACACTGGTAAAGAGCTGCCAAAAGCAGCAAAGATCTAGTAGGATGTGAGTAAGCACCTACAGGAGACAGCTGTGGCTACAGAGCTCAGCTAAAGCTGGCAGCGCTGTCTAGTAGCTGGCATTTCCTGAAAGGAAAAAAAAAAAAAAAACAACAAAAAAGGATTCCTAATCAGAAACAATAAGAACAGAGTATGTGGTCTGGCAGTGGGAGAATCTCCAACACCCTGAGGCAAGAGGAGGAAGAGACTAATCAAGAAAAATCATAGGCCCGCCATCTTTGCAGGAAGTAGTATGTTGGTGAGACAGAGTGGAAGAAAGCCCCACACAGGGCCCTCCCTGGTGGCACAAATGGTTAGGACTCAGCACTGCAAGCGAAGCCACTTAAGTGTGAGCTCAATCCCCTGCCATTCGATCCCCTGCCCAGAGGTGATCCATACAGCACAACAGACCTCTCCAGTCTTGCCTCAGCAGTGTACTTCGCTGATCTGCCTGTTCTGATTCCTGCTCTGTCTCTGGTGAATCCTCTCACTTCTCCTGCACCTCTGGCCTGTACCCTAGTTCTGTATGCATAAATAAACAAATCTTTTTTTTTTTTAAAGATTTATTTATTTATTCATACAGAACTGGGGTACAGGCCAGAGATGCGGAGGGTGAGAGGATTCACCAGAGACAGAGTGGGGAGCAGAACAGGCAGATCGACGAAGTACACTGCTGAGGGGAGCAGCGGGCGGGTCAGGAGAGGTCTGCCACGCCATGTGGTCACCTCCGGGGCAAGCGGGAATCAAACTCATGCTGAAGCGGCTTTAGATTCTCAGTGCTGTGCTTTAACCCGCTGCGCCACCAGGGAGGGCCAATAAACAAATCTTTAAAAAAAAAAAAAAAAGAAAGAAAAGAAAAGAAAAAGAAAGAAAGCCCCACACTAGGGAAGCCTAGAGCTTCTGGGCTTCTCTGACTGGATAGAAGCAAGGCTAAAAGAAAACACTGCAGAGTCCTGTAGCAAAGTTACTGTGAACCAAGGAGCATGTTTGTTCTCCTAAGGTACCCCCTGGTACTTCTTCTATAGGCATCCCCTACAAAATACTGATCTAAGAAAGCTCACCTCTTTGAAATAAGAACTAGTACACAGTGTTGTCAAACATGCTGGAGTCGAAACAAAGGAGAAAAAGACAAGAAAAAATATGGCAACCAAGAAAACTCACCAGAAAGAAAGCTATACAAAGCAAATAAAAACTATTACCAAATTGGTTAACTAATTTCATAATCACTTATGAAATCAACTTATACAGGAGAGATAAGTATAATCTAAAAAAAAAAAAAGAGAAAGTATATTTGCTGTAGTTTTAATGACAACCTCCAGAAAAACTAAAACTAAAATACAAATCTTCAAATTGTTAGAAAGAATACTATCCAAAACAACACAGATCAAACACTTAAGATTGTTTCAGAAAGTAACAGAAGCAAAAAAAGACAAAAACATAAAATATGATAGTAAAACTAAGACCAAAATACTAGCTATGACCATAAGAAACTGCTAAAAAAAGAACATCTTTCAAGATAGAAAGCTATATGTCAAGATCCAAAATAAAATAATGCATGTCTTGACAATAAAGGAACAGCAAGCATATGCCAGATTCCTCAAACTAAGCTTCCTCAAACTAAGCAGGCACCAAAATCTTTTTTTTTTAAGATTTATTTATTTATGCACACATAACTGGGGTACAGGCCAGAGGTGCAGGGTTGATGAGAGGAATCACCAGAGACAGAGTGGGGAGCAGAACAGGCAGATTGACAATGTACACTGCTGAGGGGAGCAGCGGGAGAGACAGGAGAGGTCTGCTGCACCATGTGGATCACCTCCAGGCCCGGGGATCGAACTCATGCTGAAGTTGCTGTGGCTAGCTTACAGCGCTGTGTCAGAGAGGGCCACACCATAATTTTAATACTAGGCAGAAAAGTTGAGCTCAGTCAGGACAAATGATTTTAAATAAGAACACTACAACAATAAAAAAAATATGACCCATGATTGAAGATCTAAAACAGCCAGGAATAGCCCTAAAATTCAGAGCAAAAGTCACAGGAAGACAGGAAAGGACAGAAAGATACATAATAGAGGGAGATGACTTTAAATTATCTCTGAAATGACAGATCAATGGACTAAATTAGGCAAAGACACAGATAACCCAAAGTTGCATAATTAATAAGATTGACATAATTGATGTATAGGTCAAAAAAATTGCCATATATTGGACCACAAATAAAACTTCGCTTAAAAGGCAGAAATAGGCCCTCCCTGGTGGCGCAGCGGGTTAAA